AGATGTGGCCCGCCAACGTGCCACGCGGTCACCAAAATGATTAATATGAGTCACGATCTACTAACAATAATATGTATAAAGAACAACACAATAGTGTGCGCAACCGAACGTAGCCATCTTGAAATAAGCATAAACATGAAAATATTTCTAGTCTATTGGCGCCGTCCACGTTTTGATGGATGTCATGATGGCAGTCACCACTGCATGGTTATGCTAAATATACAGTGCGTTTCATAATTATAAGCTCACTCTCAAATTTTGCAGTTCCAGATAAGCAGTTTTTAGGAATTTTTCTAGCATTATCAACGGATTCCCCAGCACGAATAACCCCGTTCCAAATTTTGGCAGCAGCACCATTTTTCTGAACTTTTTTATAAGAGTTTTTTTCGTTTTGCACCGTTTCATAATTATAAGCTCACCCTGAGAAAACAGACAATTTCTCATGGGGTTTTGGAATGGTAGAAGACGGAGACGACTTTCAAGGCTTATTGGAGACCGAATTTATTGGTTCAGGCTCGACTTATAGGCCGATGTCAGACTTTGCGAATCGCGCGATTCGCTAGCGTCTGCGGTCGCGTCGCGGCCAGTGAATCACTCAATTGGCTGGTACCGCAACGCGACCGCGGACGCTAGCGAATCGCGCGATTCGCAAAGTCTGACATCGGCCATATACAGTCGACAATACACAGATCCTCTTCTTCTTCAACGCTATTTCTCCTCATATGACAGATTTGCATTTTAGAAATCGTCCGCTAATATGTAAAATAAGGAACCAGCAATTGAATACTTAGAAGCATTATCTGTTAATATGCAAATGAGGAAGCAAACACTCAGAAGCTGAAAGCATCATATGTTGTTATGCAAATATGCAACCCATCGATCGCCATTCTGTAGAAGTTACATCAAGGTGCTTGCAGATGTGAATATCTGTCACTAGCAAGTCTTTGGACCTCATTTTCGGAACGTTTCATGGTGGCTTCTGAAGAAGGGTGAGATTTATGCATTTGGACGTGCTGGACTAAGCACAAGAGTGGTTGCGAAGGATAGCGGTCATTCCGAAGATTTTTGAAGTGCTATCGAGTCTTGAGGTGTTACTTTAACAGTCACGTGTATTTACCATCAATGATTTGAGAAGAATTTTGAAAACAGTTCCAACAGTACCTTCTTTTGAATCTAGCTTCGCTCGTGATTGAACACTTCTGTGTCGAAAAATAAAGTTGGATAGGGGTGAGAAGAAGCAGAGACATTGTCAGAAAGGCGCGATGAAGATCGTCCCGAGGCTCACTGGCCACAACAGAAATGCACGACTCCAATTCTTGGAGTAACTTAAATTCGAGATTCGATAAAGGTAGGCCTTCGTCACGATGGCACCATACACCTTGATAGTCTCATTCAGATTGGTTTTTAAGATGAAGTAGGTTGATTAGGGCAGTTTTAGCGACAGCACTGTTTTTGTTTTTTTTCGGAGTAAGTCGGTGAAGGCAGACGTTTGGTTTAGTGCTCGTCTGTGGAGGAAGTGTGAAAGTCTGGGTTGCTTTCTGTAATGATGATATGACGAAACTTCCCCTAGTGGCCTGCAAAATGGAATCCACCGATTACCGATGCCCAACAGCAACATCTAGTGCCTTTTTCCAAGCCTGCGACGTCATCTGAAACTATGACTTTCGACAGGAAAATCTGTCGTCCACGTGAGTTCTCTCAGGTAAGCTTGGAGATTGCATTCCCAAAACATAAGTGTCCAGCAGTGGCCAGCCTGCAGTCCGGATGTCCATCCGATGGAGAAGATCTAGAGCATCATCGTCAAAAGATCTTTTATGCGAAAACCCGTTGCCTTACAAGAACAGATTACTAAACAGGCTATCATCAAGCTTGGAGCGAATGTCGATAACGAAGGGCTTCGTAACCTACTTCCTAAAAGTCACGGGGTTTTTATGTCGCTCTTCGACTAATTGTAAGTAGAGTCATAGATTAACCACTCTCTCACCTGTGTCAGTAACATGAATAATTTGTTCATTTTCTCAAGGTGAGCTTAACTAAATTTAATTAGGAAATGGTTAAAAAAAGAAAAAAAAAACTTATTAAAGTTCAGAAGAAGTGGTGCTGCTACCAAAATCTGGATACGGGTTTTATTCGGGCAAGGGGTACCCGCTGATCTTGCTGCTTATTCTGGGCACGCAAAATTTGAGGGTGAGCGTATAATTATGAAACGCTTTGTACTGCATCCATTTATGTTCGCTGAACACCCATATAAAAGAGTCGATTGAGATGATCTGGGACGCTCTTGAGAAGAATCAAATACACAAAATTGAGAACAAGTGGCTCAAAATTTGTAGCAAATGTTGATTAATGAATGCGTGATGTTGATAAGAATTCCTTGCTATGTACAGCTTTCTACTTCTAGCGTCTGGGCCGGCGAGGCGCTAACATCTGAGGGATTTCTTGACTAGTTTTTTCAACCGTGCCTCGAAACAGTTCACTGCAGCAAGACACTGATGGCATGGCATCGAAGAAACGGAAAAATGGTGCACTATTTGAAAAAATAGAAGAAAATAATCCTTGATTTTTGGTATTTTATTTTTTACAACGTAAGTTCCAAGCTTGTTACAAGTAGGCTTTTCAGAACTTATCTGCAATCTCTCAGTTTCAAGAGACCTGAAGGAAGAGAAATCATCCATGGTTTCGAAACAAAAATGAAGCAGTCGTCTGGCTGGAAGATGTTACATATGCTGATGAACGAGGAAGGAATGATGAAGGCACGAAATAGGGTCATAACACATACACAGCCGGCTCCAGCTCCAAACAGGGCCTGAGGCAAGCCGAGACGGCTGATTAGGCCTGATTGCCTCCTCCCCCGAGAGCGCACTCATCACCACCAACACCTCCAGTGCCGAAACTAGGACGTCTAACACATTTCACAGAGGTAACCCTTTTGATAGCTCTAATTTCAGAAAATGGTATTAATTATCATTGTAGAAGTTTAGTGCCCGGTATTGCGTGTTTCAAGAGTTGTCTGCTGAGGTCCAAGTACTGCCTGTAGCAGAATAAAGAGCTAGAAACAAAGCCTGACGTGGCTCCTGCAGGAGCTGACCATGCCTGTTAGTGGTCATCGCCTTAAATTAATTTGATTGTTACCTGGGTTCCACCTTGTGAAGTTCTCTCAACATACGTCCTGGCTTGTGCTGCTGTATAAGACCAGTTTTCAAATTATTGTACAAGACATTCAAACTCGGTATGAAATCTGAGCTCGGAATGGAGTCCCTGCAGCGCTGAGGCTTCTCTCGGAAATCCTGCCCATACTGCGCACTTTGTCGGGTAATCCAATTTCTGACTGGTTGTTATACGTCATGCTGCGCTCATAGTGCAACAGCGGAAACAAATTTCTTTATTTCAAGCATCGGAAATTCACACATTGTTCGGCTGGTTATCTGTTGTTACTTTTCGATCACACTTATGTGAATATGACAAGTTAATCACGAACAAACACTTAGCATTAGCGAATTCCATCAAAACTACCCGTATACGAAGATAATACGACAGACTAGCGTAGTCCGTCTAACATAGAAATTCGATAAACTCTCAAAAACAATAATTTTATGTAACAGGTAGTCTGAATCAAGCTGTATCGGATATCATCGCTCTGGGAGGGGATGTCGTCAGCGTCTCTAACTTGGTGAACAGATCGGGATCGTAGATCACACGAACAATCAACGAACAGCTGGGACACGTGGCCACGTCTTCTCCCATTTCCAGCATTTCTCTTGAAAAAAGCATATGCGTCATTTGATAAGATAAACCTTCAAGAAAATGTTATGGGAAGTTCAAGCCAAATGAGGGAATGCATCTTGGATAGAAGTATCAAAGCACTCGAGATTGATTCCCGTTTTCATGCTTCTTTGGATGTGTGAGCTGTACATGGTAGCAGAGAACAGGCTTTTCGTTTTTCGCACACCGCTAGTTTTCACTGCCAAAACTTTCCCCATGTCACGATGACCTGAGGTCCTGCAGCGAAAACTTTTTAAGGTGAACCTGTTTGCCGCCAGTGACGCGCACAGCACCACCAGGCCTCTCTCGGTGTTTATACGATACTACTATAATGGCTGAGAAGATGGCCTCGTCTCCCTTCCCTCGTAGACGATTGCATAAGTATATGCCACAATGGAAGTTTCCGCCACCGTCTTATGGTTAGTGCTCGGGCTGCGCAACAGCAGGCTATCAATAAATGCTTCTCTATATTTAACAGGCATAGTGCTGTCAAGAAAATTTTGTCTAGTACTATTTGTGGTGTCGCAGGAACGAGCTGTGACAGCAGGTGTGATGATACGCACCTGGTGTTGATATATATCAATGAGCTTAGAGGTTTATTTATTGACCTCTGCCAACTTTTCCCTTTTATTCAGAGATTTCACTGCTAGCGCTGTGATTCTAACGACTCAGACAGCACTGGTAGTAAACATGATCAATCCACATTAATAAATGTGACACTTACAGGAACCGTGGCACATCTTCACTGCGGCGAAAAGATAAAAAAAAATACTCTAAAAATGATGGAAATTTCTATTTTGGCAAAATGAACATATACATTAGTGGTCAAAAGAGTTCGCCGAAACGGTTTTTCGTGCTTCTCTCTTTTTTTTGTCGGAAAAAATTAATGGTGACCTCGAAAAAATTTTCTCTTAAATATCCTGATTCTTTCAAGGCTTGAGGATATAAAAACACTAGAAAACATAGTATATCAATCTTTGGAGGACGTTGCTCAAGCGAGAAAAAAAAACAATGCACCGAAAATCGTTCCGGCGAACACTTTTGACCGCTACTGTATACTGGCGACCAAAGTTCGGTAAAATAACCAATACAATAAACACTTCGTTCTCATGAAGTAGAACCGCGGGTGAAACTATTGAACATATGCAGGAACTGTGCTGGCGCACGCCTATGCCTCGTTCGATCTAAACATCCGACCTACTACAACACGTACTTACTTCGTAATTTCGAATCGATCACCACAAGGGCATGGGTAATGGTACAGTTCGTTTTCCTCGTCATATGTGAAGTCTTCAATTTCAACTTCGTCATGGAAAACTGCCATTTCTGCTGCAAAAAAAAACATTCCATTATTATGCATCATATAGCAGACAGTAATTACTTCGAAAGTGCCAATATATAACAAAGAGGACATAACTTCAAGGGGACATAACTTCAAGGTATCCACCGTCCAAGTATTCAGTGTTTCAGGAAATTGGCATGGATCATGTGCGAAATTGTGCGTTATAACCCTCTCCATTTTTAAGCATAGAAGCACAGGAACAGGGCTTATTGTATTTTGATTCGATTTGATTTGGTACATAAATGTACAACATGTGCATTTCTAGAACACATATGCTCAAAAGAATGTATAAAGGATGGTTGGTATAGTCAAAATGATTGAGAAACGTTGTTCACTGTCAAATCGAATGAATTTAGTTTTTTCTGTATTATTTCTGTTCAAAATATCTGATGCATTCTACTGTTTTTCTTTTGAGGAGCGACAGGATTTTGAAATGTTCACGCCTGCTGAAAAAAAGGATAAGAGAAGGGATGCGAAACTAGCAAAATTGAGCGGAACCGTTTACATACAATAAAGTAACACGTGTTACCAACAAGAGAACAAACATTGTTGTAGTGGTCAATGAAACTGTTTTCCACCTTCTGATCCATTGAAAGAATAGCGTGATCTACCATAATTAAAATCTGGTCTGGATTATGCTAGATCTCGCTGGCTTCTGAAGTCCAAAAAAGCTTCCCGAGGACCAAGGTCAATAAACGTTTCAAAAAACCTGAGAACTTCCGAAAAAGACAACTTACTAGATGATATGAATTCTGGGAGCAATGTGGCTCGGGGAGGCACCTCGCAACATCGCGTCAAAATCACGGAAACGCTCCGTTTTAGGACTAAGCTTTTGAAGAGGAGAGGAACTCCGGTGTACGGAAGCAATTTTCGTATTCTCCGGAGTTCGTCCCTGCTGTTTAGGCTTAGTCCTAGATGACTTTTCTCAGAGTGCCCCCCCCCCCGAGCCACATTGCGCCAATTCGGATCTATTCCAGTTAGGGGGCATCTGAGCCAGGGGGAGTGTAGCCAGCCTAGGGGGGTGGGGGTGAGGGCAGTCACTTGACATGCGTGAGAAGCTGGAATGTTCGAGTTTACATTAGCTCGCCGAGAAACTGCATCATGATGCCCCCTAACTGGAATAGACCCGGAGTTCTGTTTTGTAATCATGATACGCCGCTATCAACCTAACAATAAGAAGCGAAGAAGTATTACAAAGAGCCGAAAGTTCCGCACGCCAGACAACGCAAGCACCGTAACCTAGGCGTGACATTAGGTGTGGCGTGTCGTTGCGGACACACACCTCAACTGACGACCCCGACTGAATAAATCCTTTTACCATGATTCGATGGATTTCTATGGGTTTTAGGATTGGTTTGGGAGTGATTCTTGTAGGGCACAAGGTCTGGGAAATGACGAAAGCTCGTTAATGCGTGTGCTCAAGTGGAACAAATTCAGTTTCGCCATTTTTTTAGTAACAAACGGTGATAAATGTGACTAGGGTAACTTTGTACTGGTGTCATGACGCACTATATTTTCTAGTATGTTCTTGTCTTTAGGTTTGGTCAGGCTGTCGGCACATCGATAAATGAAGGCTTCACATTGAGGGGCGTCAGAAAGAATTGTAAAATCGGAAGTATTACAAAGGTGAATCTATCCTACTATATATAAGCGGCTAGCGTGTGTCTGTGTGTGTGTGTGTGTGTGTGTGTGTGTGTGTGTGTGTTTGACCGGAAATTCATAGCTCGAGTCACAGTAACGATAGCGCAGTGGTTCTTACATATGTTATAGGGGGTGGGATGGGGACACAAGTGGTACGTGATAGGAACTGATAACGACTGATAATAGCTGATAAGAGGGGCTAGAAAGCGAGCATCGCCAATTTCGTTTTGCCGTTCATATTGGTACTAGAGCGTCTATACTTACAAGTGTTATGTGGGGCGGTCCCGGGACATTTGGGTACATGATTGGAAGCGATAGCAACTGATAAGGGCTGATAAGATGCGCCAGAACGCAAAAGTCGTCGATTCCGTTGCCTGGCTCGCGTTGACACCAGAGCAACCATACTTACAAGTGTTATGTGGGGTGGGACGGGGACATTGTTGGTGGGTGCCAGAAACTGATAACGATTGATAAGGGCCGATAAGGCGCGCCAGAACGCTGAAGGGCCCACGAGAGCTTTCCGGGGAGGGGACTCCTTGTCCCTACGATGAAGGAACATTTCGCTGTTCTTCCTAGGTATGGGTCATCACCTAACGTATGTTCAATCATGTTCTCACTTAAACTTTTTTAGGCAACCTCTTCTGTTAATTTATTTTTCCAATATCTCTTAAGTTGTAAACTATTAGGTACCGGATATCTTAGTGTCGCTTTTCTGAGTTCAGGAAGTTTTGGGGCCGATTACTATGGAAAATCAATATCTCAGAAGGCCTTTTTGCTCATTAATACTGCGAAATATGTTGCTTATTGTTTTCTATTGTTGGTTCACAATTTAACTTTCCCCCAATTTTTATACTTTTTTCTGAAAATTCCTGGGTCCAGTGTGCAAATTCGCATGTGTGTACCAAATGCTTCAAAATTCTTGCTGAGAGCTACAACTTCCGCCCACCAAACCAACATTGCATTTGTTGGAGGGAATACTACCATTTAAAATGCTCATCGGTTTTTCACAGTTTTCTTCAAAAGACAGTAAAGTCTTTGAAGGGATGCCCGCAACCGTCGTCAAAAAGGTGGTCCTAGCTAAATCAGTCAAAACGGGGCTGCACCAGTCTTGTGCTGGAATGGTAGGACACCCTAGCAGTTACTGATCGATGGTGCACAGACGCTCTAACGAAGTTGATTGACCAAGAAATTCTAATAAATGTGCTCATCTGCTACTCACGTGTGCTCAAAAAGGGTGCGTTTTTGACCCCATGTGGCAAAAAAGACTCCGGGAAAAATTGTCCAGTTGAGCTGGTAAGTAATAAATTTTCCACCATACAGTGCAGACCCTACTCTAACTAAATGTATACATATTTTGTCCAGGCCCAACTGTTTAGCAAGGTAGAGGGATGATTTGTCAGATGATGTCAAATTCGACCTACCTCTCTTTTTCGTCTCAAAAAATTCCTAACTTTAATCGTACGAGGTTTTCACTCATACTGGTAAATGGGAAAGGGCTAATGAGTCATTCGATGGATATGCCGTTTCACTCACTGGATTTTGAATTAAAATATTGGTGGTCCGAAACTCGCGGTGAAAAAACGACACTAAGATATCCGGTACCTAATAGTATGTACTTTAATGAAGTATATAATAATAAGAGTAATAACATAGTTATAATTGTAACCGTTCAAGTGATAATCCTCTTGTTTCTTTTTTAATTGTAACTACGATTTGCGTCTACTGTATAAATATCTCAAAACCAAACGCCTACAAAACATACAACATTCCGCTGAGTGCAAAACACTATTAGAAATAGAACCATTTTCGTGACTTAGTGCCCTGCTAGAGTCTTCGCAAACAGCAAAATCGATCCTAAACCCATCAGAAATTCATTGAATCATGGTAAAAGGATTTATTCAGTCGGGGTCGTCAGTTTTGAGGTGTGTGTCCGCAACGACACCACACCTTAATGTCACGCCTAGGGTTACGGTGCTTGCGTTGTCTGGCGTGCGGAACTTTCGTTCTTGTAGAAGAAGTATTTACGTAATGTCGGGCATGAGACAGACGTGAGCCTAAAAGCGTCGGTTGTGTAATCACACTACTATCACGTATTTGACGCATGTAGTTTCTTGCAGTCGGTTGCAGCTCCTAAAAGCTTCGAGAATTGCCTCTTCCTGTTTTAAAGACTGTATCTTTACTTGGTTTGAATTGCTAATACGTAATTCCTTCGTTCGTGACGAGTGGAGGAATGGGTGTCGTTCTGGAGGACATCATGAGGTTTTGAAGTGGATTGAAGCGTTGATTTTTGGTCTTGCAGTCTTAGTTTTGCGGATTACTTTCCGAAGCGATTAAGTTGTGCTTCGAATTTTCGAAGGCAGGTTGGTGTTCCTGGATGCAGCTTCTCAATTGTTGATCCCATCAACTCTGGCTGATGCCGGATACAACCTTCTGGCAACATTTTCTCCACCTTTGGTGTGTCTTAGTTGAATTCTTATCGGTGCTGTGTCGCCAAGATGACTGACACTTGTTGCTGTTCTTAGCCTCTATGTAAAGATTAAATTCCTATGTAACAAGAGTTCTGTCTAGGTCTTGGTAATGCTTTGTTCAGGTTCGTTAGTCGTCGTATGCCTATCTAACCGTTGCCCCTTTAAGGATTCCAGTTGTCACAATATCACATTATGTAGTGCAGAGACATGTAAAATAGTATTAAGCTTATTTCCAGCGCAAAGAAAATGGCTCACTTACGCCGTTTTGCATCGCATATCCGAATGGTATTTCGTCCTTGTTCAAGAGCAGGGTCAACCATGTTTGCGCAGATTCAAAATTTTTACGATCCCCTCCCTTTCAGAGGGTATCAGTACGACCCCACTGTATTGGCTGTTGTATCTGTTTACATATTTTAGGCCCATCAATGGTGTATGGGCTATCATTGACATGGAGAGGTGGTGGATAGAGGTAAGTCCGCGCGCTTGCTCCCGTCAGAGGACGGGAATCGAGGCACATGTTTTGCTCATTAAATAGAAACAGAACGCAGATTTTTGCGTAAAGCTAGGCATGGTAGTAATCGCATAAATTTCTGCTTCAGAAACCTGCCAAGTTTTTTAGAACTCGCAATCTTTTTTTTATAAACTGAATAGCTGAACCTTGCAGCGATCACGTTGCGATACAAACCCCTTCATTAGTGGGCTGGTGTCAGAGTCCGCGATCCGTCGCAGGTTTCGCTGATTTTCGCGATTCACGCGACGGGTCACGGAAATCACAAGTGCCCGATCAATACTGCAAGGTGTTCTCCAATGCCGCCACTTCTGCTTGATAGTGATGGCTGAATGACGACTGCTCATGATTCCACTTGTTTCATTCAGTGTTTCAAATGTTCAAATGGGGCACTTGCAATTTTTGCGATCCGTCGCAGGTTTCGCGCAAATCGCGAAAATCAGCGAAACCTGCGACGGATCGCGGACTCTGACACCAGCCAAAGGATTTATCTTTGTTCAAAGAGGTCCGGCTCCCAGACAATACCTAACCATTTGGGCGCGGCCGCGGCGAACGCGGCCGAGTCGATTGTGCCCGCGAACCGTTGAAAACGCACTCGAGGTGCCCGCGAACTGTGCTGTGCTGAGTTCGCGGGCACCTATCAACTCGGCCGCGTTCGCCGCGGCCGCGCCCAAATGGTTAGGTATTGTCTGGGAGCCAAAAGGTCTCATGAGATGGGATATGAAAATAAAACCTTCAAAATTTTTTGTATCTAAAAAGTTTTTAAACTTGTGCAAATGTTTAATTCTTCAGAAAATCGTCCCGTTGTTCCGTTTTTGTGCACACGCGAGTTTTCATTCATTCATAACTTTCTTCATTATCAACTTTTTGCAGATGTTAAGCTAATTAGAAACTAGAAGATTAGCGCTTTCGAACAAGCACCTGAAAATTTTCCAGCGATCACTTTCTCAAAAAATAGTCCCGTTGTTCCGTTTTTGGGGGTTTGTGGTCCGATTTTTGAGAAGGCGCGAGTTTTCGACATTCAAACGTTCATAACTTCCTTCATTATTAACTTTTTGCAGATTTTCAAAGCTAATTAGAAACTAGAAGATTGACGCTTTTGAAAAAATATCAAGATTTTTCTAAATGACCACTCTTTCGAAAAATCGTCCCGTTGTTCCGTTTTTCCCTCAATGGCTTTTTTAGGCCATTCTCTTGAAACGCGGCTTTTCAACCTTCAAATGGCCATAAATTTCTTCAAGTCGGTACATTGGGAAGCGGTGCATATGGTAGATTATCTTGAAAGGAAACCTATCTGCTGCAGAGGTTTTTATCAGGACGCTAGTGGTCGATTTGCACTTTCCTCCACTTTGATATGTTCTAAAAGCATATGAGTTTCTATGGAAGAATTTTTCGCTCGTGCTCACTGAAACATGACGTATTAGTGAGAAGTCTCCTCTAGAATGCGCCATTCAATCGTCTGTGGTGCGTCAGTCGCAGTGGCAGTTGAAGTCTGCCCTCCTTCCCCTCTCAGCCACGCCTTTGCAGTTTTAATTTTGTGAATGATACTTGAGATTACGGCCTTCCTCCTCTTTCCATTGGCACTATGACATCCTCGTTGTCCTTTGCGCAACGAACAGTTGACCCTGGAGGGGAGTCGCCACTGCGGCGCGCAATGCCTGGCATTTTTGGTGCAAAAGGAGTCCGCGAGTCAAGGGAGGGGGACGTAAGTAGGGTAGGGCGTTTAGGGATGGGGATACGTGAAACACATGGCCTTCGTGAAGAGCTAGAATGTAAGAGTTTACACCATCTTGCTGATGCCGTGTCAGATTTGAATCGCCAAGTATGGCACCTACTTAAGTGTCAGACTCGCGATTGCAGTCGCTCCAGAATCGCGGGCGGGTGCTGCAAATCGTACGAATCAATAACGAGACGCCCCACTCGCGAGCCGCGACACTGGCATCGCCCCTGGAATCGCGAAGTCTAACACCTATCTAAGGGTGTGATTCGCTAGGCCGGAAGCGACTTCTTCGCGCTGCGAAATGCGGAAAAGTCGCGATCTGTCCTAGCGGCTCACATTCCCTACCTAAAAGCTCACATTCATGCCGCACGCCGCTTCAGCGACTGTGCCCCCTCCACTACGTTGAGCCAGTTCTTTACTTATGGCTATCGAAAAGTTTTCCTCCATGCTCATCACTTTCATTCGCATAATACGGCGCGCATAAGTGACTTTTCTCAGTTCAAAGTTCTGTTCGAGTTTTGCTCCTTCAAGTAATTGTAACTCTCAGCTTGAATCTCCGAATGCCGCTTGAGGTTTCTCCTATTTACGCGTTCTTTTTATTTGCAGATGAATGATGCGCGTTTTGATCCGGATGACTATCAGTATGGACCACGAACTACCGTAGTGCTCGAACCAAACACCAAAGAACTGATTCATTAGTCCAGGTCTTGAGAATCTTTCAACCATATTGAAGACGTGGGATGGCGCGCACAGAGCAGAAGGGTTTGACGCACTACCTACTCTTACTAGGTAGGTGTTCCATATTAAGTGGTTTTGAACTCTACTCCCACTAACGTGACATATCAGCTTCTTTTTCTTTTAGTATTGCGGAAATCATTGAACAGTCGATTGACGATTTCCTCAAACTCGATCCTGATCCACTTGATGATCGTCATCCAGCGCGAACTCACCCACATGCTGAATTCGGAAATCTTTTAAAGATGCTGTTTCGCAATGACGACTTTATGAACAAGGTTTTGATTTGGTTTGCTTCTTTTGTCAATATCATTACTGTTCTTCTGTATCCAAATGGTGGATGAAACGGATTTGAGGGGAGTGGCCCTCCATTGTGTTTCCAATGCTGAAGATAAGAATAGGAGCGCTCATGATGCGTAATGAACTTTCTTGGTATCACTTCTTTTAGGATCGATGTAATATGCAAGTGCTCCTTAGCTGCGTTCATTTCGGCCTGCAGGAGTCCTAGGAAGCGGTCCTACCAGGGGAATAGACATCTTCGTCCAAGTTTAAGGTGGAGGAGCTCTAGGGTAGATGACATGGTGCAAAAAAATTGGTAAAATGTGGGCAAGATCTGTGGGATGTAAGGCACTCGCCGGTCCTCAAAATTACATTTCAAATGATCGTCTCGTATTATTTTCTTTTCAGTGTTAGAAAACACAAAGAAGTGTTTCCCAATACTAAAGATAAGATAACAAGAAGTACCCCTTCCCAAACTCTATTTTCACCCATCAGAAAGTCTAAATTTTTTTTGATTTAAGCTTGTCATAACGTACTTACTTGGACGGGACCACATGGAACTAAGTATCGCAGCAGCGCGGCTGCTGCTTGACTGCCTTCCTGGATTGGACGCTAATGTGGTCTTTTCGGTAGGTTCTTCATTCGAGAATTGTTCCTCTTACGGTTTTGTGGGGGTTCTAGTTGCCTCTTTTCATGAAATTGAAATACCGATGCTTATCTTGTTAGCAATATTTCAGGAACCGAGCGACTTCATTCCTCAGCTTTACGTGTGGGCCAGGGACAGCTCAAATGAAATCCTGCGGGCTTACGCAATTGGACTCCTTGCAGGAGCTCTTGAAGTTCAAGGTAATGCCCACAAGTATCGATCCAACAATATCGATCTGATGCCTGTTGCCTTGCGAAGGCTTGCTGATTTGAAGGTGCGCAAGAATTTTATCTACACATTGTTTCTTTTGGTTAGTCTCAACTTTTTTCAATGCACTCTTGTTCAATTGCTCCAGGCTCGTATGCTCGAGGAGAGATCCCAAACTGAACAGGAACCTCAGGACACTCCTGCGCGTGAACACAGTGGTAATTCTCCAGGACCATTCTCACATTTAAATGGATTCGATTTGGAGGATACTAGCTCTGTCAGTTGTCTTCTGGCCTTAAACTTTTTCTTCTCTGTTCCTCGTGCTAGTTTAATTTTCTTATTTAAGGATGGTCAAGCTGCAGGATCTAGCAATGAAAACACTCAGTTCAGTGATCACCCTAAAAACGTCAACGACTTGGTTTCATGCGAATTGAATAAACTTAGAGGTAGCGAATTTTGTTGTGGGCTTTCAATTTTTTCCGTTCATAGTGCCTGTTTTATGCCAATCGTTGTCTTTTGTGCCTGGTCCATTAATAAAGTTCCTTTTTCAAGTTCCCTCACTGCGAGTTCAGCCTCCTGCGGCACCTAAGGGAAGTCCTAAGCATGACTCTCCTCCAGCAAAGAGAAGGAAAAAATTGTCCAAGGTAAGTAGCTTTGCATTCCTTGTTTACTCTGTTGCCTCGGAAAGTAACAACTTTGTAGAATCTGCAATTACTTTCGAATTACTTGCGATTCTTGTCGCATTCGTGTGGTCACCTTCAATTCCCGTGAACTCAACAAGCATATGTCAACCTGCCATCGTTATTTCTTTCAGTTTAGTAATGACGAACCCAATGAAAAAGACAATGCATTTCCATTATTTCGCGTTTGATATAGAAGAATGATGGTGACGGTAGCGTTGAAGTGCAAAACCAAAATCTGCTGATTCGTGCACAAAAAAATAGCCGAGTGGCTTCTATCTTCAAGCATAGTCTGTTTACTACTATAAAACTGAAGGGTCAGTAGCATTGACCTTTCCGTTATTTTCCTTTCTTATATACATTGCTGATAGACAAGGAAGTACTGTAAGAGGAATCTCACAGACGCTGGCGGTCGCCTGATAAGGTGGTCTGGCTATAGGTGAAGTCATACCATCTGCTTAATTTTATTGCATTTAGCTTAGCGGTTTGTGTTTGTTATCAAAATCGTATTCTACACTCTTTGTCTGTCATGTGGTGAAGATATGAGTCGTCAAATTGTTTTATTTGATCAAGGAACCAAGTTCCTGTCGTCTGTTCAGCTACTGAAAAACCTTACAATTTGTAACAGTACTTTAGCTCATATAAAGTAATCGAACATGCAGTTCTTGTGGGAATTTTTCTTCACCTTCAATATATTTATTGCGCTATTTTTATGTTTTGGCTAATGTTATTAGTGTGAAAGCTACCGAATTTTTTTTATCATTAATTCTTTTGCACCAAAACAACCGTGATTCAGAATGAAAGGAAAGATACAGCAGACTGTGCTAAAGTCCCTTCCATGGCGTCGCTGCACAATCTGGAAAACAGCAATAGCACGTGGAATATGGTACAACCTTATGTGATAGGAACTCACAAGGTATTCTATTTGCGATACTTGGTCTCCCATTTCCACGACTAATCGATTCTTTTTCTTTTTAAGTTGAGGCACACAGGTTTCTTCTTTTCTTAGAACATTTTTCATGTAGGTGTACCCTCTCTCAGTGACGATGCACCAGCGCTTTATTTTGCAATATCTTAATCCAACTGGAGAATATCAAGATGTTAGTAACTTTATACTTTTCGATGCCTTATTTATCTCGTTTCTAGTTTTTTATACTAGCGAAATTTTGTGCTCGTCGTTCAATTTAGTTACTGAATCTGGCGATAGAAGGTCATGCGATGGATCTTATTATGGAATATATTGATCTACAGAAAATGCATGACGTTCGATTAACCTTTGATGCTCTCCGGGTAAGGCTAGGTCTTCTCTTCGAGTACTTTCAACGATTATTTTCTGACAGCTTGCCGTAATCCTTTCTAATTGTCATGGTTATTAAATCTTTCTTTACCAGTTTTTAGTATCTCACGTCGCTGCTAGTTCATCGAAAATTTGCAATGGAATTCATAGCTAGAGGCGGAGTGGCAGCTCTTGTGCGAGTACCTCGTGCTTCGATGGCATCTGTGGCTGCAATTACTGCGCTTTATTACCTATCTTATAACGATGACGTGATGGAAAAAGTGTGTCAGTTGAATGAGAAAGTGCTTGATGAGGTTGTTGAGTGGGTAAATTACGTAACATTTTATCAATTTCATGCTAACATAAATATTATCTCAACCTTGCTGCTCTCGTAGAATCCTACTATTCTGTGTTGTTCAGATATGCTTTATGGTGTTTGGAGCACAGCTACGAAAGTGGCATGGGAAGCGCTGCCATGTTTTTCACTCATGGGTTTTACTATAAACCTATTCTGGAGCGTTTTGATCAAAGAGATGGCCTAAGAAAGCTGTACAATTACGTATGTTTGTATAGAAATGAATTGATTTTCCAGTATAAGACAAGCTGATGATGCTTTATTTCAGATATCTACATTGACTCTGCTGCAGGAGGCTAACAAAGATAAGATAGATCTGACAGAAGAGCAGCACTTGACAAGCTCCCAAGCGATACGTAACGCCTCTGCTGCTTTCAAAAGGTTTACTTTCTTTTGAATCATTTTTACAAAATTTGGCAGCTCTTCAACAAATGCTTTTGCAGTTACTTCTCGGCGCACTTGTTTGTTAAGTTGGAACAGATTAGGCGGACTGTAGGTAATCGAATACTGCAAGCTGGCTGTAGTTATCCTGCAGGACTCCCTTATAGTCACCGTTCATATAAGGTTGGTTGGGCTCAGGAAGTTTCTCAGTGAGGCTGTTCAAATTTCTCTGGTTATAGTCTATGGTTATGGACGAGGACTCATTCAAAGAAGGAGTATATCTGCTTATGACTGCTCTGCGAGCTTCAAACTCTGGATGGAAGCCAGTTGACGATGCACGAAAACTAGGATTGATCAAAACACTGTTTGGTGTGGTGGTACTAACACATGAAATGGGTCATGCTGGACGGTAAGTTCATGGGAGAGGCTCTTGATATAGTGATTCCTCAGCTGGTGAACTAATATTCAAGGTATGAAACTGCCAGTAATGCTCTGAACGCACTGTGGCTGTGCTCCTGTGTTCCCAAAGTTCACCTTGAACTCTGTGAGTCCATGCGTTTGCCTAATGGACACGATGCTGATGGATTCCAGTAGGGTTTTCGTTGTTTTGAATGATTCACTCAATTTTTGATTGGTTATATTTCTTAAGCTCTGGAATTCAGAGCATTCTCTTTTCAGAATCCTTATGGAAATCATCGGGGGAGTCATTCCTAGCTGAGTCGGATCTTCGTTTAGCAGCTCTCAAAGTGCTGATAAACTGTGTTTCCGTGCCGGAAGAATTGTCCAAGGTATTTCCTAGAAAGGCTGATGACTGGTAATGCGTATTAATTCCGTGAACGCTTGTTTTAGCCCATGCGATCGGAGAGCGGTGAGAAGAAGGACAAGGACGGTCGTCGCAGTAGGTGTGCAGTCGTTGGTCTCTATAACAAAGAAACACAAGAGAAAATTTGGGGCACCGTTCGTAAATACAACGGAATTAATGTCAGTTTCCTTCCTCATTTAATAAGCTTTTCGTCTGTCGGTGCGATGAATTTCTTGATTATCAGTGTTGATCTTTTAGGTATTGCTTACAGTGATTCGCCTTACTTTTCCTATAGCTGATGCTGATCAGACTCGTGCTTTGGCATGTCGTGCCTTACGGGAATTTGCGAAATGGGATCCCGTGGGACAGATACTTTCCAAGCTTCCACTCATTACTGCAAATGAGTTACAAGGTAAACACGGCTTCTAAATTATTTCCACGTTCTTTCACGTACTACCTACTTACATGTTATGTGCAGGCTTGATGCGACAGCCCGTAATGTTCGAGAAGCGAGCTGAGCATGTGAAGTTCTGCGAGGAAGCACGCAAGCTGATTGAAACCGTGACTAAGCGGCCGATGGTCGATTTAACGCTAAATCCAAAAGACCTTACACAGGTATTCACCCTATCACTTTTATCGTTATGTCAACTCAACTCTGAAGTTTACTACTAATGTTTTAATGTTCCGGCTTAGTTCATTTGATAGAATCAGTCACATTGCTCGACGATGAAACCCTTAGCTTGCTCACTGCCGTAATGGTTTGATCTAGCTGGTTCACAACTGCGCTAAATGTGTCTTTAGTTACATTCTTCTCATCATATGAAGGTCTGAATGTTCGCTTGTGAACGAATACAGAAACTATATTTGAAATGCCAGGCAGCTCCTGAAAACCCATCCTCACCCTTACATAGCTTGTTTTTGCTATTCAGGTCCCTATTTGTTGGATATTTTTATGCGCTACCCATTCTCTTCCTCCTGTATTTTCCTTTTTGGGGAACAGAGAATTAGAGAGCCATTTGATTATCGGACCCTCTTGTCTTCTGTTTCACTGATTGCACTTTTATAGGAGCGCTTGTGGAAATCCCATGTAATAGCGAATACTCGAGTTTCTTACAATGAAAAGGAGTTGCTGCAGTTGATTCACGACCATCTAATTCGGAAAGGTCTTCATTCCACTGCAGAACAGCTCGTAACTGAAGCGGAACTACCGCAAGTTCCAGCAAGTAAAGCGGCTACCACGCCGGCGAGGCTACCTCCCTTGGTGAGTGGTGTAGGTGTTGGAAACTGTCGAGAGATTTTAAGGCTTTATATGTTGTTCTTTGTTATGCTGAATTTTAGCCACGAACTCGATCTCTGGCCTTACCGTCTTCTCAGCCTCGTTCTTTGGTTCTTCCGGGAGCGTCGGGCTTGACAACTACTGGGACGACTACCGAGGCTACCACTCCAATTAATCCCTTCCATAAACGATTCGGAAGTGTTACTTTACCAACACCACAACGGGAACATGGATTTCTGGAGCCATCACCGGGACGAGTCCGCAAATCAAGTCCGTGTTATTCTTTTGCTCTCTTACTTTCTTCCTGTGATTGACTTTTGAGTTCCTTCTCGTCTTGGTGAATTACAGGATGTATAGCATTCCCACAACGACTACAGCTGCGAACATCGACGTCGTCAAACACGAAAGTGACTACGGTGGGCAAAGAAGGTGTTCGTCCTTACAAAGGACTGGATGACATTGTCACAGAGTATTTCAGGTAAATTCGAATTTGTTTGTATGGTGATCACAGTAAGGATTTGAATTCTTAATTTTTCAGAGTGCAGCACTCTAAATGCTCCCATCCAGTCACAACTTGTCCTCCTTTCTCGCTTTTTTATCCTCATCGTTGTCCTGAGCCGCGCAACGTTGGGTCAGTCCCCATGAACATAGTCACACGTTTTGCCACAAGAGACATTTTGCCGTACAATACCTGGTAAGTTTTTTTGGATTGGTGTCGTATCGACATTGTGATCTAATAACACTGGTTTAATTGACTGTTCATTGCGTCGTTTTAGGAACAAGGTGCAGTCGAAAGATGAGAGTTACGTGTTCAGCCGTTTCCGCCCATCACGAACTATCACCGAGCATGAAGAAATGTATACGAGCTGTGCATTCTCGGTATGTCGACAAAGCCTTCGCCCTAATTTTAATTCACTCATTATTTTCTCATACTTCTTTGCGAGTTATTCGATTGGAGGGGATATTTTAGATTGATGACGAGCATCTGATTGTTGGAACATTTACTGGTGAAGTACATTGGTTGAACATGGAAACGGGTGCTGAAGAATCCCACACAGTTTGCCATTCTAGTGGTATTACTTCAATTGTTCCCAGCAATGTGCGTTGATACATCTGCTCTTTATTACCTCTACTAGTCAAAAGTTCACTGTAATTTGAATTCTAATTTCATACATTCTAGGACGGTAATTTTTTGCTCACATCGTCGGCTTACATAACACCTCTATCTGCGCTGTGGAAATTGGGCGATCAACAAGAATATGCGTTGGACATACCAGATGAGTACTTTGTTCAGTTCTCGAATCTTTCAAGTGAGAAAATAATCGGAACAAGTGATGTTGTTGGAACGGTGAGTCCTTACTTGGCTTTTATTTATTTTTATTTTTGAAATCGCCATTGGTGCTTGTAAGGGTTGGAACTCTGGTCACGTGGCGGAAATTCAAATCTCTCTGTTTATATCGCTCCTAGACATCGTTTGCCTTTTTCTCACTTTATTTTGCTGAAAAATTAAGATCTATGATACCGAGACTGGTCGTCTTCTGCGGAAGTTTCGCCGTGAATCTTGTCCAACCGGCTACACTCACAATCGTGCCTCATTTTCCCCTTGCGATACAATGGTCCTAAATGATGGAGTGCTTTACGATGTTCGAGGGCCTGTAAGTGGCTAGCTCAGCCTAGTCTACTTTATGTATCAATTATGAAGATTTTACAAATCAGGTTTCTAGGTTATTCACACATTCGATCAGTTGAACACTACTGGTTGCAGCGTATTTCATCCACAAGGAAATGAGATCATCATCAACACAGAAGTGGTACGCTCTCATGTTGTTATTATAATACCACGACACTGTTAGTTTGCTTTGTTGCAGTGGGATACTCGAACTTATCGCTTGCTGCATCTGGTTCCGGCCCTAGAGCAGTGCAAGCTTGTATTCAATAGCACAGGGGTGAGTTTTTCTCGATGGGTAGCAAGAGGTAGCCGCGTGATTAGCAGCTCTGCTGTTTCCAGAAAGTTGTATATGCTGCCATGTATTCCGATTGCGCAGATGTTTTTCGCAACACGTATTGTGCATCATTTCGAACTTTCGACACATTTGATTATTCTGTGAGTCGTGTAATCTCAACTCCATATTCGGTCACTTGTATTATTCTGCTTAAAGATATAGTACAGTCCCCATCTAACGTCCAGTTGTTTGTTTGTTTGTCTATTCAATATCAGAAATTGTGGTTGAGGTCATTGCTACGGTAGATACGAAACGTCCTCTTCTCGATATCTCTTGTGACCATTCCGACCACTACGTTGCTGTGGTTGAGCGAATGAGTGAGGGAGAAGTTGAGTACATGCTTAGCAACGAGAAGACCTTAGTGAGAGCATATGAGGTCAGTCTCTCTAAGAGTAGTTCTCATTTACCTGTGGATCGTTAAAATAAGAGGTTTAGGTTGGAAAACGACGTGATGCTGAGGATGACGACGCCGATGAAGTGGAGGATGAGGAGGGATCAGACAGTGGTCACGACAGTGATTCCTTGGGCGATGAAATGGACGACGGAGATGAGGATGACGATGATGAGGATAATGATAGTGATGACGACGATGAAGACGATGACGAGACGGGCGTGTTTGAGGCGATAGGAAGGGTTAGTTGGTTTGTTGTGCCGCTGGAAAAATTCGCTGATTGCTAGTTTATGTGCCTATGTGTACTGTTTTGTTCATTTGATTTTCCATTATTTCGCAGTTTTTTTTTAATTTTGTATTTAAGCTCGAAGCTGGTTCTGAGAGTTCGGACAATAGCGACAGTGAAGGCAGTGGTTGGGAGACGGCATCGAACCCGAATGACCCAGCAGAGGGTTGGTCACCTCTCTTTGCTTGTAGGCCTCTCTTACAAACTTTGTCTCAGTATTATTTTGTTGATGCCATAAACTGTATCTTTTGCGTTTATATGTAGATGGCGGTGACGATGATAATGGAGAGCACGATGATGAAGAAATGAACTCTGGACGAAGTGATGAGAGCGGCGGAGCAAACGGCGATGACTACCTTCTTCAGTAAGTATCAAGTTGCTTTGTTCCCTTCGTACAGAACGTTATACTCTCTTTTTAGCCAAGATCCGCGGGAGGATCATCCGACCAGTAGTTCGACTGCCGTTAATCCTCATATTCGTAGACAACGAAGGGGGCAACGTTAGGGGTTTGGGTTATCATTCATTCATTTCATATTTGTTTTCGCCTAATTTTGGCTATCCGATGTCATCTTTCCACTGTTAGTGACTTGATCACCATGTTTTATTTCGAGAAGATAGCCTATTTCTGCAGTTAACAGCGTTCTCTCGGTGTTGTTATCGTTGTTGTTGTTGTTTGATTGTCCGTGTACATTTTGTGAAAACTGTTGGTTATCCGGTTTCAATTCATAAAGCGGTATTCTCTATTTTCAAACTTGCTGTGAGCTCAAAAAAAGATTAATTCATCGTACCGTAGATGTTTTCCCAAGCTGCAAGTCTCTACCCTGAATAAAATATCAAGCGAAGCAAGTATAGTAGTACAATATGTGGGAAGTGGAAAGGCGGAGTACAGTGAACGACTTGATGCCATCCGTTAAGGAAATGTAATGATGGCCAGCAATGATCTCTTGCTTGTAACTGACAGGTCTTCATGCTCTGTCCAAATGCGTTTCAAATCTGACCTTAGTAATCTCTACACTCGGTTTCATGCAAGATCCTAGAAGCTGTGCCGATTGGCAGAAAAAGCAGGACGTCACCCAACACTGGATAACTAGTGCGCTGGAAACGACTTCCGCGAAACTAAACCAACGAAGCTTTCCATCTGCGTGTGGAGGTTGGTGCTATCACTTTTTTCCAGATACATAGAGTTCCTTCAGGTTTCTTCAAGTGAACTTGAGTAAGTCGTGCTCTGTTGATCATTGTGAAAAAAGGTAGAAGAGCTCAATTTTTTTTAAAATTAACACCGTAACACGAGAATCACTCGAACCGTGGCTGGCACCTTTTTTCCACCTCCCCCACGTGCATCACATGGTGGCGCACGCTGATACTCAAGGTAGGTATTGCACCGGCTTACGTCAGTGACGCTGGAAAGTTATGTTTTCTTCGCCTGGTTCTCCTGAACTTTCTCAACTAGAGGAATTTCAAATGTTGACATCTTCGTTCTTCATTTGGCAGCGAACTCGGCATAGATTTTGTAGGGTTCGGCAAGAGGACCCATGACTAACCCTTTCAACATACAGAAAATTTGGAATGTGAGTAATGGTCAGCTCAGCTCGCTATGACGAGAGAGCGCAGACGAGAGCAGAAAAAACGCGGTTTGTGCGCGGAGAGTGAAATGGATCATCTTAACACGTTGACGACAGACTGACGCGCAAGCGCGTCAGAATTTTGCACCGCATTGGACATTCTGACGCGCATGCGCGTCAGAACTATGTCATTCATTTTTATTGTGCTCGCGCTCCTTCTTCTCGAGTTTTTTGTATTCATTCTATAGATAATACATTAGCATAACTATAAAGCGCATGGGGCCGGAGTGGTCAAACATTATGTTTGAAACATAACGAGAACTATAACCGCATGCAGCCAGAGGAAATATCCTTGATTTAGCAAAAATTTTCTGAACGCACAAAACTTTCATTTCAATTCTTTCCTAGTATTTCTTTCATTGTCGTTAACATTCATATAAAAGATTGCGGAAGCTGTTAATACAAAACGCTGTGAGCTCCAAGATATTTGTATTCGATGAAAAGCCTAAATATAAATGTTTTTAACTTCATTCGCAGGTCTAAAGTGATGTCTTTTTAGCTTCCTCGTGTCCTTGTTCTTCCCTTAACAACAACTGCCATTTTAAGTCAAACCTTATGGTGCAATGCCAAAACACGCGACTATCGTCCCCAGTGTTAAATGTCCGACAGAGCTTGCCTATATCCTTGTTCTGAAATGAAGCTTTCTTAAGGGCATGTTACAAAATCAATGGCTTCTTTTTATAATCTATCTGGCTCTAAAATGTTCTAGTGGAGATTCGAAACTGAGCATCCTAGGCATCTCCTTTTCCATATTCTTTCATTCTGTTTTTCATCATCATGATTACGATGCTTTCTAAGGTGTATGTTTCAATCACTAACAAGGAAGGGATTAATAGGAAAAGAGTTGTGCTTGAACATTTTCACTGAGATTGTGTCAGTTTTGGCAAATATAAAAGCTGTTTCGATCCTGGGAAAGTACCAATATCCGAGGTTGCAATTCTAAACCAGATTGCTTCAAAAGCTACCAAAAATAAAAATAAGAATACATTAAAATCGTGCGCCACCACGTAACGCACGCCGGCCCTGGCCCGATTTGGTGTGCACCACATGGTGGCGCCGTCATCCGTTACGTGATAATTATGTAGAAGAAGAGGAAGTGATCGAAGTTTGTTATTCACTTATATGCTTTTATTCTTATATTCTTCACGCCTTCGAAGTCGAGACAAGAACAGTGCTCTATTTCCAATGCACATTTTCTGGATATCAGGAACGTCCATGTTACATATGGACTCCATCAATTTACGTAACTGCGAAGTGCTCGCCGTAAGCCGCAAATTGCTTCTGAACTAAGAGAGATGGGTAAAGTATGCAGCAGGTGCATATTAGTCCGATGAAATCCCTCGCCGTGGGTCGTATTTTGCAGTTTGAAGCTCATGTGGTCGTAACTAGTGTGTAAATCGTGGTACGGGTGCGGAAGGAGTGAAGACGTTGTAACGCAACAGAAAACAAGGATGTGTGAGAAATTATGACATAAAGTACCCTTTGCCGGTTCGGTCGCTCCGTCCCTCTACCTTCGAGAAGCTAGTATTTGAAAGTACTACAATAAATGAAATTTTTGCAAGGAACAGGGTCACATGTGCACACGCGCTGCGAAGGCATTTCCCCAATCTGCCGCCCGCTCCGTCACCCTCAATACCTTGTTGAGCATGACACTGTTGTTAGAGGGCTGTTCCAAAAACGACAATAGTTTTGGAAACACCCTGGGAAGAAGAAGTTGTTTCTCAGGTTATAGGAATTACGGAAAGCGTTTACTATAATAAAGTTTCTGTCAACAGGTCATCATCATACGTATAACAGCTTTCAATAGATCCTACAACTTGAGCGGAAGACAGATCAGGCTACACTGAGACGACATCGACGATAGATGCCACTCCCCTTCTCATCGCTTATTTTGAAAGAACCTGTTCTATATCACATTCAGAGAGTTGCCAACTAATTGACTTCCAATGGTGAAGAAGAAAGCAGTTTTTAGGTGGCCGGGATCCGTCCTCGACATATCCTTGACGCAAATATTTCCTCAAACTAGAAATTTATAAGCCAGCCCACACGACGTTAAAAGCGCACACTTCTGCTTCACATAGCTGCTTACACTTTTTCAAGATCTTACGAAATTAGAGAGGTATTGCCTTTTAAGTGGCAAAAACTCGCATGAAAAATTCGGGATCCTCGACGCTGCATCGACAAAATTTAGGAGACCCTATCTCCTCGATTGTAAAGATTTTAGATCTATTTCAATTGCCGTTAGTAGCAAATCAGCTCTAATCTAACCTCTCATCACAGCCGCTTCCACAAATGGAATGGAATGAACTTCTCATAGCTGGTCATATTTCGATGGTTTCGAGCGGGGTTTCGGCAAATCTGACCCACGGATAAACCGCGCTGCAACTGAATGCTTTGCTGTACATTGATGGAACTCGCTTATTCACATCAAATCAAAGTTAGAGGGGTCGTATCAAGACCCCGATCTGAGGGGGGGTCGTACTGAGTGACCACGTCCTCGACACGATTTTCACCCTGATAGGTAACTGCATTGTGAATATAAAGGAACGAAGGGAGAACGATGACGCGCCACGAGTTCTCAATACCTTTGGATCATGAGCTCTATCGTGTAGATGGAAACTGAATTACAAAGAACACCAAGCAAAGAGGGGGAAACTAGTCCTACCTGCGAAAATCTGACGCGCGTACGCGTCACATTGTCGCCAATGTGTTAGCCACTCGAAGTGATGAGTCCAAATTGTGCGTGGTGCGAACCCTGTTTTACTCAGAATGGTCACAGAAGAACTCTTTAACTTAACAACTTACGAATTCGGAATTCGCCTGCAAATAATGAATTAGAATACGATGAGAATAGATAGAATAACTGGGAGGCAAAGTGGTGGAGCTGGGTGAGTGATGGTGGAAATGGCGACGATGGACGGCGGTGGTGGCGTGACGACGACGAGAGTCGAATCCGAAGTAGAAAGAACCGATTACTTGTGTTTCACCGGGTCTTATATACGTTACCTCCGCGTCATTCTTGCCAACTGCATGGTAGGTGGTCAAAATAGGACCACCCACCGTGATCTCGCGTCAGTCGCGGTCACCGGGCGTGTTTGATCGACTTTTCTGACAGATGCCGCCATCTACAGTATTTATCATCTACCAACTTTACTAGTAATTCACATGAGAATCATCAACCTTCTCTCATGCAGGATGTTCAATTCTGAACACCTTCAGCTCTTATCGTTAGTACTGATTGATAGCTCATTGGCAAATGTTCCCAAATCAATTGACGGAGTAACACGTTTATCCTTTGAGAAGATTTATGCATAGAAGCAGTCATGTAAGTTGCTGGCGTTCATGGGACCTGCCGAGAGGTAGACCACTGACAATACCGTACTTTCGAGTTTTTTTTACTATGGAGACGTGACGGCTCCATACATGTACAGGGTGGTCCAAAATTATGAGGACCAAGACATTGTGTCGTTAAAAAGCAGTACTTGAATGAACAAACCAACTTCTGGGAAGTATTTGTAACTCTTACCTCAAAGTAATTCCAGAATAGAATTGAGATCTGCCACCTGCCGCGTTTACACGAGCCTTCAGATGAAGATGATGGCGCGTGCGCTGGCACGCAACTGAGGCGTGTCTAAATGTTTCCAGGCCTTCTTCTGCCTTCTTCAGGGAATCAAAGCTTTGTGGGCATTTATTTGCGCTTGCATCCAGGGTGTGAAATACAGAAATCTAGAGCTATTAGGAAGGTTCCATTGTAACAATTCTTCGAAAGCAACGAACTCGAAAAATCGCTTTTTAGAGAATTTTTGCTTTATTCTTGGGTGCTCGGTCCTGTAAGAAGTTCTAAGTAGACTACTCGTGTGGCTTTCTATCCACTACAGATGTGGAGTCTTTAGAGTGTCTGGCTGGGTTTTCACATCAATTTTTTCATTTTGGGAGTACGAAAGTCGACAAGGGGAGACCTAGTTTCTGCATCTGATAATTATCCTGGTGGCTAACTGTAAGTTTCCAGTACCCGAATTTCCATCTGTGGTGGTTTCGAACTTATTGAAGAGTTGAAAGGCTGCTCATTTGGGCTTCACTGATAGGTTAGACTGCTGCTAGATGTAACGTGCCAGAGCCCCTAGTGAGTTCAATTTGAGGACTGACTCAAAGTGAAGTAGTTATTTCACTAGTTTTGAGAACTTCATGAAATTTGGTTTCATTAGGAAGAAGACATTGTACCCTTTCACATAGTGCACAGAAAACGAGATGAAAATGGAGCGATACGGAAAAAAGTGGATATGACTGCGCGCGCACGCGGTCCTCATAATTTTGGACCACCCTGTATAAGAACGGACAAGATGCACACACAGTGACGGGTGACAAGAAGAGCCAGTCGTCTGTTGGTGGTTCATTGACCAACTGGGTCGTGCTTAGGGCTTTCGGGTAATGAGCAGTATTCTATTTCTTTATTTATTTTTTTACATCTTCTTTTATTTTACTCCTTTTGACTGCTCTAGAAACAGCCAGGGTGGTGAGGATATTGAGGAGGGGTGAACTCACCTTCCTCATCACCCCTGTACTGTTCTCTACGGACACTGTTCTTGAGATTGGCGTTGCTAGTACCCTATAAACCCTCCCTACGCTTTCCATTATCGAATTTACCTGTGTGTCCTGTAACTTTACGAACCTCTTCGTTGTAGTCTCGATTATACCAATCTATATTCATATATTCTATTATATTATTTGACTTGCTACCGTTACGAGTGTAGTTCCAGTAATCAGTCTGAGCAAGAAGGAAGGAGAGAACTTCTTTCTTCTTTCTCGAACTTAAACTTTGATTCACCGAGGTGAGGTCTTTCACCTCCACCACAAATATTTTGAATAGGTATGATAAGAAGTGAGCTGGCGTCACCTGAGAGAACTATCCCTCTTCGTCGTCATCACACGCTGATCGTTGGAGGTGTCCTTTTTATTTGTTTTTTAATCAGCTCTTGTGTGCATGTCAAATATACGAAAGGATTTCTTCACTTCGGGAGCTTGTCTTGTACAGTTTTCGTTGATAGTCGCTGAGCGTAACAACTAATGACTGCAAGCTTTTAGTTAGCTGAATGGTGGTGGATGTTCGTCAAAATGGAGAGTCGAATTCGATCGGATGTCGATTAAGATTCTTGAGTGTTTGCCCACGGATGTTCCTGCCCGCACAAACTCGGTCAACATCGTACGCAGCACTATTTTGTAACGACATTCTCGTAATTTCTTCCTACTGTGTTGTATTTTCTCAGCCATCTTCGAGAGCTTTCATTGCAAATTTTGAGGTATCGGCGACAGTTGCATATTCCTTTGCCTTCTGTTCGACGCGCTACTCAGTTGCTTCATCCTTACAGTAGCTCCAGTACAGTAGGTGTGAACTGCTTCTTGACATCAAATATCATTTTGATTCTTATTTCGTTTTGATATCGCCTAGGGCAGTATGACTGTGTCCTACTCTGGCAACTTTGTTCGCCTTCTGCTCCGATGGAAGGGCTCCATCTGGAGGTCGGTGTGGATGGAATTAGTCGCCTTCTTGTTGTTGTTCTATGCAGTGCGGCTTTTCTACAACTACGCAATCCCTGCAATCGATCCTAACGAGGAACTGGACCTGAAGTAAGTGCCTACTGGACCTCTTATGGCTAGATTGGTAATGCGTTTTCATTTGTCAGCAATTGAAACCATGAGAACCGTGTGAAATGTTGGCCCTCCTACTCAAAATCTGCTTCCATGTGTAAACGGAAGCTAGGGGATTGCTAGGGTGGGAATCCACCAATCCCAGCAACCATATCTCCTGAATTCTAGGAAGAAGTTCAACATGCTCTGTAAGGAATTCAACGAATACACCCGCCACATTCCACTTACTTTTCTTCTCGGTTTTTACGTCTCGAGCATTGTTTCGAGGTGATTCTCTTATTATTTTCAGAATTCGTCTCACAAACTATGTCTCTGATTTATTCAGGTGGTGGAGCCAATTTGAATGTCTCAGCTGGCCAGAAGACCTTCTGTCCATAGTCTGCTTGATTCTGCCCAATAACACAGAGGACTCGAGAAAGAAACGGCATCAGATCGCTCGTTACGTCAACCTGGTTGCCGCTATTGCATGGTTCTAATGCTCTTCACGCTTTCGTGTAGTCCTATTGCTCATATCTTTTTGCTGTAGGCGTGACGTCTCCGATAAGATTCGTCTCCGCTTCCCAACAATTCACAATTTGGTTGACGCCGGCCTCATGACTGAATCTGAGTTCATACGTCTCGAGAAACTGGAGGTAAACTAGGCTGTCCTATGTGATTGGTCTTATATGGGGTCACAAGGAAACTGCCATAACTTGCTTAACTTGCTTTACATTAGGAAACGCTGAAAGTTGGCTCAGTAGTTTAATGCATTCCCTACCGCTTTTGGAAGTTTTGAGATGTTCCCAGCAACCCAAGGATCCCCAGGCAGGGTCAACCGTCCTTCGGACAAAGTCCAACGAGGGGTTCGTATTCGCAAGGTCAACGTCGCAATACGTAGGTGAGAGGCATAACTTTCGAGTGCTTCTCCAACTATTAACCACAAACGAGTGCATGGCGCACCTCAGAGCAGAAGAGTCTACTGCAGAAGTGTCCATATTTGACTGTTCACGTACACAAATATGCTCTCGAGGAGAACCAATGTCTTCAAACTGGACCTAAGTTAGTAAAAGAGTGACCACTTGGGTAGATTGACTGCTAAAGGCTTACAAGAAAAGTTTGGGAAAAAATGTTTGCCTGTCGGCGACTTCCTAAAAAAGGGTTTAGTATCTTTAAGCAAAAGCAAGTACTTTGTCATGGTATCATTCTTCCCCATAAAATTGAGTTTGAAGAGAGCTGTGAGTGTTTGAGTGTTGAAAACTCGTGTTTTCAGGAGAGTAGCTCCGAAAATTCATGAAAAAACGGTCCAACGGGGCGATTTTTGAACGGGTCATTTTGGAAACGAGATCAAGTATTCACTACAAACTCTAACCTTCTAGTTTTTTTTTTTCCACGAGGAGAAAGTAGTACGCAAACACACACAAATACAAGTGTACAGTACATAATAAGTGTTGGGGGAGGGTAAAAGGGTGGGGTCGTAAAATTTTCCGAAATTGGTCCAACGTGACGGTTGACTCTGATGGGTGGTCGTTGTAGATTGCTAACGAGCTGCATTTTCTATTTACAAATTTGCTTACTCGACTGCTCGCTCCAGGGTTAACCGTTTCGTTCGGCCAATTTTAAAATTTCCCGACTCCTCCCCTTTTGATGGTCTAAGTACGACTCTCTACCAGACTCGTGATCTGCCCACTTTTTCCCTTCAAAATGGCCGACGAGCGGTGGGTAAATATATCTCAGGAGACCGCAAATGTTCTAAATTCGTCGAGATCATGCTCATTTTTTGATGGTTCTGTCAAAGTTTTACCGAAAGCCCGTCAACAATGAGGAAAGCGACCCCCCCCTACCGACTGGATCGGCCGGATGGGCGGTGAACTCTGCTTGATCCACTCTTCGACCTTCTTATTAGTAAGATGGAGAACTGCTATCAGGTGGTCATTCAATTTTACGTCACTTGCGAGAGAGACCTATATCCTATGTGGCCTAAGGGTTCATCTAACGAGGGAAGGTCAACAGGCCGGTCCGGCCATTTGCAATGAGTCGTATACCGTTGAAGTCGCCTCGAGGCGCTGAGCTCAGAACTGCCTTCCTTATCTGCTAAACGATTCTCTGAACGTAGTTATAAAGCAAGGAAGCGCAGTGGCAGTGCCCCGAACTCGCGAGCAAGAGGTCGTGGGAACGGCTCCTCGGAGAGTCTGTTTCTTTTGTGCTTCGTGAAGATGTAGCCAGAAAGCTTCTAACTTCTTAATTTATCAACTTTGCCGTTAGTTCCCTGTACGAAAAAATTTCGAGCAGTTCCTTGCAGGTTTGGGCAGTAGTCGTCCATGTATGAACATGGTGCCCGTAATGCACGTGTCAGGCTTTTTCGCGGCAAACAGGCGTGATATTCGTGTTCAGGAGATCAAACTACCCTTGGAGATAAGTTTCCTACCGAATCTGAGATTTTGACCCAACCCTAAAAAATGAGGTGAGTCAACCATCATATCATCAACCTATCGTTGAACTCTTTCTATTGAACTCTTTGCATGGAAAATTGCTCTTCCAACCAAGATTTTGAAAAGAGAAACGTTCAACGGCTCACATTCCCGCATAACGGAAATGATTTACATGACTCTGCATCAAAATTCAGGGAAGGTGCTTTTCCAGTTAGTTTTCGATTCATACCTTCTCTCGTTTGACTGTATGTTGACTGCCCTTTCTCGAGTGTAGGTCAAAATCTCAGATTCAGCTGGAAACTTGTAACCAGGGAAAATTCGGTCTCCTGAACACGAATATCATACTCGTTTACCGCAAAAACACCTTATCAGTGGGCTATGAGCGTCGTTTTCAGTCATGGCAAATATTAATTAAAAATAGCTTTCAACCTGCGCAGAGGTGCTCCCTAACTCCTTACACAGGCAGGTAAAGGCAGGAATTGAGGAGATACTGTCGCTAAAAGCCTTTCTGGTCATGTTTTCAAAAAGGCAAAACAACAAACACCACGAGAGACCGATCCCATGACCTCTCGCCTACAAGCCTGGAGCGTTACCACTTACGCCACGTCAACCACGATGTGCTCCTTCCCGCTTGGCTTATAGTGGCGACTCCAATGATAGCGCTCATATACTGCGTTTAAGTACAGTGTTGAGGGGAAAACTTCCGTAACTCCGTTCAGAGCACCGTTTAGCAGATAAGAAAAGCGGTTTCTAGCTT